TCATCATCACATCCGGTGCTCAAGGTTTCTTCCACTGAGGGCAGTCCCACTCAAACATGCCATCATCTAGATCTTCAGCCTGCCCCTACTGTCTTCAACAACTCCACCAGTGTCGACTCTCCAAAATTTTTACTTTACTTTGCACAATTTAATAAATGTATTTGTTCACTGTAAATTAAGTTTCTCCTGATTTAACAACCTGTGTCTCCCTGTATAAGTGTGTCAATTATCTCCCGGTGGCTTCAGTTCTCCTATTTATTATGTTTTTTGTGATGTATCTCATGTTATTTCAAACTAATTTGCAATCATAAGAAGTGTGGTCTTTGTTGGTGAAATGTTTCTTATATACAAAGAACAATTACTTATCGTAAAACTCCAAAAATATAGTAGAGTAAAATCTTTTAGGTGTGTTTTCTAGAAACTACAGGTCTGATGAGGAAAGTGGGAACAGGTGTGTAGGTGGGAGGGGATGTCATGTGACCAGGACTGGCAGGTCTGGGGAGTGAGCAGGGGCTGGAGAGAAGGACAGAGAGCCAGGACGGGCAAAACCACCAACCCACTACAAAGTCTCTGCCCTCTCTCGAACTTCTCAGACAGTTTTAGTGCAAAGACTTCAAACTCAAAGGGTTTCTCAATAATTTTTTATTGGATATGTCTGGAGTGTGGTGTTGACCGTATGTGTGTACGTGTAGTGTGTGTTTGAAGCGTGCGTGTGTAGTGTGCGTCTTTGCATGCACGCCAAGACACGCGTGCATGTGTTTTCTTCAAGTTTGAGTAAGTAAGGGAAAGTATAAAAGTATTATTATCATACACATCCGAATAATCCTTCTCTTTACCATTTTAATAGAAATACCACCTCATCCTTGCTGTCCAGCAACTTTTAACCACAATAAAATACATTGGTGAATTATTAAATATGTATTGACTTCAAAAGTTTTCATTAACACACTGTTATTTGTAATACGCTTTTGGATCGATGTGAGTACTTGCAGACGCTCCCTGCGACGAATGAACCGTCCCGTCATACCTCGCGTGGCCAACGGCTCTCTCAACCACCGAATGCTCGCTCGTTGAATCACCGTACTCAGCCTGTTCAGCTCAACTTAGTGAAATCATTTGGAGCGAACCAGGTCGGACTATCTCATTTATCGTCTGCTATCAGACACACACACTTCCCCGGCCTTCTGTTCGTCTGACTGCGGCGGTGGAGCGTGCTTTCCTGGGCTCGCTGGCTGGGTTTGCTCGGGGAGGCAGAGTGGGAAGTAACGTTACGGAGCTGGTCCCGAGTGATGATGGAGCTAGAGTCGGCCAGTAATAGAGGCGAACTGGGAGCTGTGGGGGACTCGCTGCAGCCACAGACTCCCAGCAGGCACGAGAAGAGCCTGGGACTGCTCACGACCAAGTTTGTGACTTTACTACAGGAAGCGAAGGACGGAGTGCTGGATCTGAAAGCGGTGAGCATGCAGCCGAGTCTTTGTTGTTAGCTATAGCACATGTCATGTGTAGCCTGCCCGCTGTCGTTGGGTTACATGCACTTTCGCTAGCCTGCCTGTTAGCATAGCCTAGCTGTGTGACAGGCTAATTTGAATGGGTGATACTTCTCTGCTTATGGCATTGCCGTTTTTATACATCTCGGATACATGTGTCATGGTGTTTGGCAAAGTAGGGCTACAGACTGAACTTTGAGGACACGGGTCAACTTCTCAGTCTGTGCCCCCTGCAGATTCAAAGTTTAAAAAGTGGGTCAGCTTTTGTCGTTCCCTTCAAAGCTAACGCTACTGCATCTTAACACATGAGCAATCCTTTTCTGATTGGCGTCTTTGTCAATTGTCGATATGCATTCACTCAATTAGTTTCCAATTTAAGTCGTTTTAGCGACAATACAGTAGCTTCTAAACTACATTTAATATGACATAAACTAATCTTAGCTGTGTTCTCCACCACAGTCAAAGCCACCATAGATAGATATTACATTAAATATTCCCAGTAAACTCAGTGCCATAGTGTCAGAGTAGTGACTCGAATAACTAGTTGGGTGTTGGTGTAAACATTCAATAAGATAAAGATGTTAAGAACAAATGGATTCTGGGGTCACTGTTTAGAAAGTGCCACTAAAATGAATAAGCCGTGAACTCAAATGCCCTAAAATTGGGGTTACCCTGAAGCCCAGACTTAACAAAACCTGTTAAGCCTATCTATATGTCGACGCTGCTTGAAAAAGCAACGTGTGACATTCATCGTGTCAACCACAATCACATTGAACTGGAAATCTTTACATTTATTATGCATGAGTGAAAAGGGAAATTATTGCTGTTAAACTTAAAAGCCTTTAAAGATTTATTAGCTGTCGTTCAGCAGGTCTGTGACCACAGTGCCCCCCCTACACACAGCCTTAACTTATCAGCACCAGCCATGTGGTTATCTGAGTTTGTTAAGCACCAAGAGGTCGGGCCGGGAAGGAAGTTGAAACGCTGCTGTCATACCCTGCGATGGCTGGTTGCAGGGCATTGAACCCGTTGGCACAGATACACAGCGGTCTCTTTGTCTGTGTTTTAAGTTATGAACCTACTGAAGGAAATGCCGCCTGTAATCTTGACTGTGTTTGATTGCGTTTGTCCTGACGTGCAGGCTGCAGACACCTTGGCAGTGAGGCAGAAACGACGAATATATGATATCACCAATGTGTTGGAGGGAATCGGACTGATCGAGAAGAAGTCCAAGAACAGCATCCAGTGGAAGTAAGCACACAGTTCATTTTTTATTCTCGAAAGGTGGTAAGACACTCTCTTAATTTTTAGGGGGAAAAACTGAATAAATACCAAAGTCAAAATGTTAATTTTAATCGTAATTTTTAAAAAAAAACTTCACAATTTGCCTGTCAAAAGCTAATTAGATAAGTATTTCAGAGTGTTGAACTGACCTTCATCACAGCAAAGTGATTATGCTTAGGTATTGAGAGAGCTGAACTATTTTAAACCCTAACCACTGAACTTCTTTCAAGCACTTCAATCCCTTACCACCACCTCTTTTTCATGTAACACATTCTAGCTACAGAGAAACGTATTCATCTGAGGATCACGGCACTAAGTGTTGATCAGTCGCGTCATCCTTGTATGCACTCATGTTGGCTAGTGTGTTATTCTGTGTGACAAACATGCTCATGACTCAGTGACTGTACATCTCACTTGTAATGCTGGTTGTGCAGCTGAGTGTGAAGCCACTTGACGCTTATTAGGATCTCAGTTGGCATGAAACTTTATAGAACTGACCACAGACGATGTGTTAAATGTGTCCTTTTCCTATACTAATGTGACACTCCTGCCACAGTGTGATCATTTTATAACACTGCTATTACAAAATGATCACAACAATAGGAAAACACATGACTCCAACCTGCCTCACTAAATGGAAATGTAAGACTTTGGACAGGTATTGTTGTGGAACTTGTTCAACCACTTTATTAATTAATGACAAAAAACAAAAACAATAGTTTAAGCTGTGTGGTAATTACATCTATCATAAATAATGTTCCCTGTTAATGCAGCTGTACTCCTGATTCATTGTTTTGTCCATGCTCTAAAACACGGCAGATTGATCAGTAGCCAGGAGAGACGTGAATCTGCAGAGCTGCATCACTAATAAAGCAGGCGGTTAATGAAAAACAGCATTCATGCTCATGAGTGTGCAGCTGACTGTAGATGACCATGTACTGTATTTGTCTTTGTGTTTCAGGGGTGTAGGTCCAGGATGTAACACCAGAGAGATAGCCGATAAGCTCATTGATCTGAAGGCCGAGCTCGATGACCTGGCTCTCAGGGAAAACGAGCTGGACCAGCAGAGAGTCTGGGTCCAACAAAGCATCAAGAATGTCACAGACGACTCTAACAACAGCCCATATCCTTCACTGCACAGCGTCTTTGTGTGTTATAGCGGGAAGTAGTTTTTCAGAGATGCGGCCCATGGTCAGTGGTGATTCAACGGGACAGTTTCATTCACCATGATTTCATTCGGTTGCATTCCTAAGTTTGTGGAGTTCCCTCCTAACATATCTTAAGTATGCAGTAAACATCATGTCCTTGGTTAACCCATCATCCTGAAGATGAAATGTATTTTAAAGACTCCGCAGCCAATCAGGGATGTTTAATGGCAGTGTGCAAAGGTGCACTGTTAGGATCATTGTGGAATTGGACCCTTAACACATTCATACTATGGCATATATAAAACATGAAGACCTCTGTGGAGCTTTCAAAGGTAATGGTTTCAGATGCTTAATGGTTCTCAACATTCTTCTGATAGTCTCAAACACAGTTTCCATCACTTGCCTGTCCTCCTTCCCCCAGGTGACACTCTCCTAGCAATCCGTGCTCCCATTGGCACACAACTCGAGGTCCCCATACCTGAATCTGTAAGTCATGCGTGTCTTTTGTGCGTATTTTAAGCTCCTTATGTCCTGCTACTGTTTTGGTCCAGCTACTGTTCCGTCTCATGTCTCACACTGGGTTTATGTGTTCTTATCCAGATCCTCAACGGACAGAGGAAATACCAGATCCGTCTCAAGAGTTCATCTGGACCCATCGAGGTTTTGCTGGTCAATAAGGACCCTTCCAGTGCCTCTCCGGTTGTTTTGCCCGTCCCTCCTCCAGATGACATCCTTCAAAACCTCCCAGCACCGACGCCTACCTCTCAGCCGCCCACTGCCGTCACACAGGTCCACACAGATGTCAGCTTTCTGCATGCAATCAGCTGTTTTTATGTGTTGATAAGTTTACTGTAAGACTGGATGTTCAGATGTCTTTCTTCATTGAAACAGTGATGAGGATTAGAAAAAGACATCGGTCCCAGGACCAATATTTATCACGGTTTTCCTCATTTTGTTAGAAATATTGTTCATAAATGCTCAATTACCATGAGAAAACGACTGAAACTTCTGTTTTTTTGTATTTTTCAACGTACAAATTGTATTTTCTTCATCGTGCAAAAATAAGATTTTCCTTTTTTCTTTCCTTCATCTTTCCACCATCCAGGTCTCCAAAGCAGCTCCAGCAATGACTGCAAAAGCTGGTCCTGCCACAACAACAGCTGTAACAGCCAACCTGACGGCCTCAATGACGGGTACCAGTGTGCTGAAATATGCCCGTTTTCTTTTAGTCTTCAAGACATTTCACCTTTTTTATTGTTGTATTTTACACTGAACTATTTGTGATGTTTGCTCAGCGTTATCGTATTCACTCTCGCTTTATTTCAGAAGTGACGAGCACCACGCAGCTCATCCCGACGACAGATACACATGCTGCTGTTACTCAGCAACTGCAGTCTTCTGCCTCGTTGGATGGATCTGCGTCCTCCTCAGCCTCGGCAGTATTTGAACCAATTAAGTCTGATCCGTCTGAATGTGAGTTTTTGCATGTTGCTGACCTCTTTTGAACCTCTCACTCCACTCACTCACTAAAATGCAGGTTTGGAAAGGTTAAAGGGATGATGATGCTGATATTTTACTTTTACATTGATAATCTCTTTGACATATTGGTTATAAACCTTTTTTATAAGCTTCTTTCAATGCAGGACAGCGCCATACTAAAAGGAAATTAGCCAAACTACAGACGCTCGGACCCTTAAGGACAAAAATGTCCTCATTGAAATCCATTAAAACCACAATTTATATCCTAAAGCCATCACAGTATAACATCATACATTCTATTGTATTCTAATATATCAGGCTTTCAGTTTAGCACCCTGGCTTCAATATTGTGTTTTTTTTTTTCTCCTTCAGCTATTGCTGCTGTATTGTGTGTTTGAAGCAATGCATTAAAATCATTAAAATCAGCATTTAGTATCCAGCAAATATTCAGTTTTTGTGTATTTTTCATTAAAAAAAACAACAGTGGCGTTATTTTAACAAATTGACATTTTAAAGGGTTAAAATTCTGAAAAATAAATGAATATTTGTAAGTTATGATTAGGACTGATGTTGGTTAAAGAAATATAAAAAGTGGAATTTTCCACTCAATAAAAGTGGAAAATAATATTACTATATAATTTGACGCTGCCATTTCTGTCCTCTAGGAACATCAGATTAACTTTCTGAAAGTGAAACTCAAGAGTTTAGTGTTTGTAGTGACTGACTGTACAGCTGCTTTTCTTCTAGTGCTGGACTTTCCCAAAGAGCTCTCTGAAATGTTTGATCCTACAAAAGGTAAACTCCTCCCCAGTATTACATAAATGACATATTCTTCTTCCTTTGATTATGCCGTAGTGTGTTCCACTTTGTCAGTGTCCTGCAGACTGATGGTTCTTTCCTCTCTCTCTCTGACAGAGATCATTAGTGGAGACCTGTTGGAGGACCTGATGTCTTCAGAAGGTACGTTTGTATGCGGAGTATGATGTATATAACAAAGAGATTCTTTCATACATGTCGGCACTCATGGCCTCCTTTCATGCACCCTGGATGTCTCATCTCTTTGTCCGTCTCCTCTCCAGTGTTCTCGCCTCTCCTCCGTCTGTCCCCCCCACCCAGCGACCACGACTACATCTACAACCTGGACGAGACAGAGGGCCTCTGTGACCTCTTCGACGTGCCCATTCTCAATCTCTGACCCCTGCGATGGATGTCAAGAGTGGGGAAACGGTTCCCCAAATATGCTAATTGATTTTCTCCCAAGGGTTTCCCCCCCCTCACTGACGGTGGAGGTGAGTGGAGGTGCAGGGGAGCCAATATGATCTGACAAGCGTCTAAGGACACCTGCGCACTGACGCTGGGCTCAGACAGTTGCTCCATGCACAGCCTGGCGAGAACAAAACTTTTTACTTAATGCTTTTCCAAGGAAACCGAGTCAAAACAAATGACAAATAATTCTATTTTTTAGATTGCTATGTATGATAAAGAGGTGTGTGTGTGTGTGTGTGTGTGTGTGTGTGTGTGTGTGTGTGTGTGTGTGTGTGTGTGTGTGTGTGTGTGTGTGTGTGTGTGTGTGTGTGTGTGTGTGTGTGTGTGCGCGCGCGCGCGCTTGAGTTTTGTATTGACCGCTCTCTTATCTTGAGTCAGATGTCTCTGGGGGGGGGAATCAAGAGCCCCTTTTTCTATCAGGTAGAGAGACATTGGCAGACTAACAGAGCACAGCTTTTGTCACCTGGCAGCTGCGCATGCATGGCTGGAATGAGTCCAAACAGCTGGTTAAATATGCACTGTCCTCATGTACATAGAGAAAATATATTTTGTATTACCAGCACACAAGGCTATTGTGTAATATTGAACTACATTTGTAACAATAGTTGGCAAATAAACAAAGGTTCCCGACTCAAATAGTCAGACTGTATGTGTGAAGTGCTTTGTTTTGAGTCGTGGGCATTTGTCTCAATCAAACCCTTCAGTGTTGGAAGTGTTTCTGTGAACCAGGATCCTAATGTTGAGTTATTAAAGCCAATAAACGTGACACAAAGAGCCATGGACCAAAACAAGGGGTTGGGGGGGGGGGGGGGGGTTTAGACTTCTATCTTTTTACATGAACACTATTCAGGTCAACACGGTGCTCATTAAAATGAAACAATGTGTCTCTGGCTCTCGTCGACACTGAGAGGTTTGAGATATATATATAGATATATCTATATATATATAATATAAGCCGGCTTTCAGTTTCATTTTTGCCTCTGGACTTTTGAACCTTGCATATTTTTATTGGCTCTGATTATTTCATAACTTAACTGGAGTGCATCAGAGGAATAGCTCCCACCCCTCCCAAAAATGACCCCTGTGGATTTTGTCTTTTAGTTATGTATGTATATGATTACCATTGTACTCGGTTCATGTTCATGGAAAGGGACTTTTATGTATTTTTACTGAGTGAATATAGTCACGATGTCATGGACAACGCTCCTGTTTTTGCTTGTTTGTATATTTGGTAAAGATCCCTATTCAGTAGTTTATTCCAATTTCTTCCAATTTCTTTCTGTTTCTCGTAAATGAAATACTGCCCGTCTTTCTGACTCTAAATTCAATTTTTCCACTCTAATCATTCTCCCTCTGCAGGGGACAGGTGAGTAGCAGTTCAGGATGAGTTGTCACGAGTCAAACTGTGAAAGTACGATATCAACATTATTCATATTGCTGCGATGCTTCTTCATTTTGTGTGATAATGCCCTGGATTAAGTGTATGTATGTACTGTTTGTATCCGGCTCTACCGTTTGTATAGGATAGCGTTTATTTTTTATACCCGATAGATATATTACTACTGCTACCTATCTTGGGGCGACACTTAACTGTGTTTGCAATTCATCCACAAAACCTTCTGCTTTGTCAAAGCCTCCTGTCTCATTGTTGCACTTTACATCACTGGTCTGATTGGTTGTTACTCATCCCCTCCCAGTCAGTAAGAAGTCATCGTGTTTCAACAGTGTTATGAGTTTCTTCAATAGAGTATAGCTGAGCAGTACTGGTTTGAATGAATCGTGTGTGTGTGTGTGTGTGTGTGTGTGTGTGTGTGTGTGTGTGTGTGATGGCATGAGAGACTCAATCCTACAGACTGTTTTTAACAGGTTCACTATTGCTAAGCTGTAGCTGCATCAAATGAAATGAAATAAAAACTTTGGTATTCTTAATGTATTGTCTGGTTATCAATTTAAGTAGCGTGCCACATTGTTTGCGTGTGTCATCATAGCGTGTATGCAGACGGTAAGTTCAGTTTGAGAATTGTGAGATGACACTCAGATATGTTGTGAGCTAGGGTCGTTGTTTAAAAAAACAACTAGATTTAATTAGTAGATAAAGTTGCATTTCATTTTAATGAAAAGATGCAAATGTAACAAAATATGAAAAAAAAGTTGTGATAACAGGTAAGCTGTTCAACTGAAGCCCTTTAATTTATTTTGTATGGACAGTATATTACTGTAAGACTGTACATTCATCATAATAGTGACAGTTGTGTCATTGAAGGGGCAGATACTTTGCTTACTAGAGAACTGTAGAGTTCATGGGTGTTTGCAGCTGATACAGGATTGTTTTCTTTTGTGCTAAGGCCTAACCTGCAACTATCAAGTAAACTCGCATAGCTAGCATTGTGAGCTCATAATAATAGAACCGTTATGAAGGAAATAGGGTTCTGGGATTAGGATGAATGATCCCTTTAACTCCATTGGCCAACATTTAGCTAAATCATGGAGTGTGGCATTATGCGCCTTTAAAGCCTCATCTGTTTATGATGCGAGAGGATGCATTAATTACATCCATTTGATCAGAAAAGTGCATGTTTTTATGGGGTGTCTTGATGGCCTCGGGGTTAAGATGCTAAACATGTATATAATAAAAAATAAAGGTAAATACAGAGGAGAGACCTTACAGAGCAGTAAGTCCATGGTTGAGCCAGTAACAATAAGCCATAGGGCCCCCAGCTGCCCATTTGTTTACATGTAACAATAATGATAAATAATAGCTGTATCGACCTATATTATTGACATAGCAGCTATTTTTATGTATATTTTTATGTATACAGTATATAAACAGCAGGGGGCAGCTGTAACCTGCCGCATCCGACCCGGAACTTTGGTTTAGTTCATCTACTTCTAGGAAATTTGAAAGAAAAATGGTCTAGCTCAGCATAAACTCCAGCGGCATTTACACTGTTTGCATTGTGGTTCTTTCAAAGTAAAAGTGCTGTATCGCTCGATTACTTAAAGTAACACACTGACATGTTTGAAGGTGAAATCTTACACTGGCACAGTTGAGAGGGAATTAGATGTAATGGAATAAGTAAATAGTGACACTTCAGCTCATGGACCGTTTCCGTATAACATAGCATGACATAACGTATGTTTTACGATAATACGCTGGACAGGATGGGTTTTATTTTGAAAGTCATAACCGGAAACCTGTATCTACATCTGGCTAACTTGCCTCATACTTTGGATTGAACGACTCCAACCAACCCGGAACTTTTAGGTCAATTAATCACTCCTGAAAACTTATTGCAAGGAGTTTCCGCCTGTGTTTCTGAGCAGTTTAAATGTTACTCTAAGAGAAGACACTTCTGCGGACTAAGGTAGTTCCTTCCGAGGGGAAAAGCGGACAGTTGCAAATGTTTCTCGCTTCGACTGCAGCGGTTCCTGTGGGACATTAACACTCGACTTGTCTTTTCAAACCAGGTAGGACCAGGACAAAAAATACCAGCTCTGAAGCTGACTCTCTCACTTCCTCCACAACCTTGTCATGGATCTTTTTGCAAAGCTTTGTCTTTAGTCATATCAGTTTGAAGTAATAACAGTTCAGGTGCTGTTACATTTATTTGCGTTCACGTGTTCACTTCTAACTAGTTACTGGTTTAAAACATAGTTTGGTGGTTCACGTACACAGCAGAGCGTGTGCCTTTAATGAACTAATGTAGCTTACAGTGTTCAGCCACACAAAAGTTACATTTATTTGTGTGAAGTAGAGCTATACTATTGTCATGAATAAGACCAGTTGTATGTTTTATTATCTTTTTTTCTTTTTATAAATACAAAGCAAGCAAGTCATTAAATTCCAGTAGAAGCCTGAAGTAAGTCTTTCTCTGTATTATTCTTGTATTTGAGATGTATTCAGTTCGTGCTGTGCGTGCGTGTGTGTGTGTGTGTGTCCGTGTGTGGAAGGAACCCTGTCAGGTTAGGAATTTCAGGCAGCTGAGAGCTCTCTCTCTCTCTCTCTCTCTCTCTCTCTCTCTCTCTCTCTCTCTC